TCTCTCTCTCTCTCTCTCTCTCTCTCTCTCTCTCTCTCTCTCTCTCTCTCTCTCTCTCTCTCTCTCTCTCTCTCTCTCTCTCTCTCCCCCTCCATTCCATCCACATACCATCACAAACCATCCATAAACAAAAGAAGTATAGATGAGCAACATTGGAGAAGGTGCAAGGTTCCCCACGTTTGTGCGGTTGCGCAGGAAGTCCCCACACACCGGTCTGCTGCCGAAACAGCACACTTGCACAAATATATATAGTTTTTTCAATCTATAAACAGGAAGGTAAAGGGCAGAAGGCAACATACCTAACACAGAAGGCTCCGTCAGCAAGAAAGCACTCCCGCAATATTCCAAAAAAACTTGGAGAGCCCTCCAAGTCAGCCCACACGCACAGCAGCACTGACACTCCTATTCCTCCCAAACGACAAACTCACGCCACCGCTATCACTATCACTCCATGGCTAGACAGTCCCCATCTGCTGTCTAGCCTCTGGAGTGCATAGAGTACCATAATCCCGAAGACCACAAGATCTTCACGTGACACCAGGAGGGCTACTGCTTAAAACACCCTGGAAGTCCCCGTTTTTTCCCTGTGCTCCAAAAGAACAGCCCATGGGAATGCCACCCACACCAAACACTCTCTGAGACTCCTCACCAAGATATTGTGGCCAGAACTCCAAGCATACATTGACATTCACAGAATCTCCACGCAACACCAGGAGCACTACTGCGTAAAAGTTAAAACACCATGGAAGCACCACCATCTTCCATCATGTGCTCCAAAAGGGCAGCCCGTGGGAGTCACACCCACAGCAAAGACTCTCTGAGCCTCCTCGTGAAGATACCGCGAGCATGACTCCCAACAAACATTCCCGCCCAAAAAAATTGTGGCCAGCCACAAACATACCTTCATCAACAGACAGCCCATGCTCTACAGCAGAGCAAAGAATTAGGCCATGTATGAATAAAGAACAACCAACAAAGGATCCAACCTCAAAAGACAAGTCCAACTCTGTGTGTGTGCGTGTGAGTGTGTGTGTGCATGTGCGTGTGCTTGTGTGTTTTTAGAAAAGCACCCCAAATTCTCTCTCTCTCTCATTCCCTCCACAAATCATAACAAACCATCCATAACGAAAAAGTGTAGATGTGTGTGTGTTGTCATATCCGCTATAACCTCAAAAAAAACATGACGGCGCCAGACTGTTTCGTTGGACTTTCACCAACTCATCAGGCGTGTGTGTGTGTGTGTGTGTGTGTGTGTGTGTGCGTGTGTGTGTGCGTGTGTGTGTGTGTGTGTGTGTGTGTGTGTGTGTGTGTGTGTGTGTGTGTTTTAGATTTTCCCCACAACAGCCCCAATTCCACCCAGGTGAATAGATTCAGAATCAAAGCAGTCTTTGTCCTACTGCAGACAACGAGAGCATTTGAGATGTCCAACATATTAAAGCAATTTTATAATTAGAGCCATTATTAGACAGTTTTTTGGTTGTTCTTGGGGTACCCCTTTCATTGTTCTTGCAGCTCCCCTTTTACTGTGCCTCTTACGCGCAAGGCTGCCCATGTTGATTGTGGTTGAGCGGCAGCTGCCCACATCCCCGTGTGCCTCCACAGCCCACTTGCACGTTATTTCAGGAGGCAGAGTAAAAGGGAAGGTATGCTCCTGTGCATCTCTTCAGAGCTTCATACTCCTGTCCATTCCATTTCAGATCTTCAGCTTATACAGCCTTTGTGTCCGTCCTTCATCTTCATACTTCCGTTCATTTCATTTCTGATCTTCATATCTTCTATACTCTTAATGATGCTCATTCGTATGTATTTGTTTAGTAGTACAAAGGGAGTGGAGGGGAGGGTGGAGGGTGAGGGATAGAAGGCGGAGTTCTCTAGGAGTATGGCGCATGGGAGGTAGGGGCAACGGGAAGGAAAGAAATATGTGGAGGGCAGGATAGAATGACATGCAAGAGCAGGGGAAAGGTGTATGACGGGTCTCACAGATTTCTAAATATTCACCGCTGTGACATATGTCACAGGCTACGTGGCTCGTACATGCTAGGAACACAGAGGCACATCGACCGCAATTATAGAGGCATTGCCGTTCCAGCCCCTGTCTACAAATTGGACATGACATGTCGGTGTGTGTGTGTGTGTGTGTGTGTGTGTGTGTGTGTGTGTGTGTGTGTGTGTGTGTGCGTGTGTGTGTGTGTGTGTGTGTGTTTG